TCAAGTTACAATTTTTACGTGTTATTCAACAATTGGAAATGCATTGAAGAGTTTATTGCTTTAAATAGGCTTCTAAATGTACAGATATTTTGCACGTATTTCTCTATATGACTGAAAAGTTTCAGGGCAGGCAGTACATGAGTGTTCTGCAGTAAAGCCTGAACTGTGAGAAATGATGTAACCTGAATGCTTACAGCAGAGTCCCTTCTACCTAGAAAGTCTTATTTATAGGTACTTTTCAAAGATGTGAGATACTTTTTCTCCATAACCCAAATATCAATGTTAATAATTTCTCTTTTAAAATTATGTTTATAAGATTAACAACAAAAGTCAAAGTGTTTCTATCCTGTGATAGTTGTAGTTTTCGAGACTTTAAATACCAACTCTACAAAGTGGACAAACAGAAGATATAAAGTATAAACAAGGAAATAAAATAATGTGAACCAACACCTTTTTACTTTTAAGAAATTGTTGTAAGTGTGCCCTATATTGCTTAGCTGGACATAGACAAAGATGATCTGCAGCAGGACTACCAACCAAATTTTTTGTGATGATGGAAATGCTCTCTTTTGCACTGTCCAATAGGGAAGTCACTAGTTACCTGTGGCTCCTGAGCACTTAAACAGTGGCTGATGAGATGGAGAAAATGAATTTTAAATTTTATTTAGTTTCAATTTACATTTAAATTGCCACCCTTGGCTACTGGCTACCCCTATTGGACAGCATGAATCTAGAGGAAGATGATGATGTTACTTTCCTCCTAGGTTTACCTGGGCAAGACACTGGATAAAAGGGTCAGAAGACTAAAGATCATATAAAGAGTTTTTTTATTCTTTATCTACCTAGCACAAGATCTGTAAGAATGTAAAATAAGAGATGCTGAGAAGCTGTAGTCAAATAGAATATGGCTTCATCTGTGTAGCTGACACACACAGCATACACAGAATGTGAACTTCGAGTATAAAGGTGTCATTAGCCAGCAGAGAATCCAGCTCTCCTCAAGACCTTTCACACTGACCAGAACAACCATCAAGCCCAAATGGCCACTGTTTTATGACCCTCTGTAAATATACTGTATAAATACAATGAACATGAATATATGAGCTACATGAATATACTCTATTTACTCAAAGATCTGACTGGTTATCTTTCCAGGGAACCTCATGCTGTCCAGCTACAGCATGTCAGTTCCCCAGTTTATTCTTTCCATCCCCTTTGAGGCAGACATTCTCTATTGTTTGACTCAACCCCAATTATTAGCCACTAGAGGTGGTTTTGTGGCACAGGTCTGATCTTCAACTTCCTGGGAAACCCACTGCTTTCCTGATCCAAGCACCACCCCTTCTCCTTCTTTTTCTTCCTGCTGGAATGCATGTGTTCTCAGGGAGACACCAAGGAGAGCATGGAAACTTCAAGGCTGACAACGCTGAGCCATTGAGCCAATGTCAGCCATCTGCCTACCCCTGAACCACTCATTAAATGAGACAAATAAACCTCCGTTAGATAAGCTACTGAACTTTGGTTTTCTGTTATTTGAAATGGAAAGCAATCCTAATGGAGACAGTTTTCTTCTGAGTTAAGTTATTGGCGCACCAGAACACTTGTAGTTAGTTATTTTTCATTTGTTCATTTACCCATTTAATAATAAATGTGTTGGGGGTAGTTACCATGTGCATAGCTAAGTGCAAGGTAATAGGGTGGACAAGCAGCCCATGGGAATACCCTCACAAAGCCAACATTCTCGTAACAGACAATGACCAGCAAACACTTAGGTAGTGAGGTAAGCTCTATAATAGAGGGGGCCGAAAGAGTGTGCACTGAAAAGGCTTCTCGAAGGAATTGGCATTTACACTGAGACCTGGATAATGAACAGAACTTAACTAGGTAAAGAGGAAGGAATAATACATATATTCCAGGTCAGGAGGTAGTAGAGAAGACAGAGCATAGCTACGAGGAAATGAAAATAGCTCAATGTTACTTAATTATGTGTGGGGCACCTGGGAGGGGAGACTGAGTAAGTGCAGAAAATGAGGCTGTAGTTTTGAGGAAATGCTAAATCACACACAACCTCAAAATCATTTAAAGGAGTATGGACTGTCTTCAGAAAATAATGGATAAGCCATTAAAGGCTTTAAAAGTCAGAGGAGGGTGAGCTACATAAATATACCATATTTAGAAAGATCAGCCTGCATTTTACATAGAGAATGGATAGGAAGTGGAAAGACTAGAAGGAGGGACACCAGTTAGGTGAATGATGTAGTCACTCAGGCAAAACTCGACAGTTAAGGAGGAGGGATAAAGAGGAGTGGCTGGATTTGAAAGCGATTTCTGCAGTAAATAGCTCTGTGATAGCTTAGCTATTGGGCTTGTAAAAGGAAGACTCAAGCATGAGTTTCTATTTGGCAACTGACTGGGTTGTGGTAACGTTCACTGGAGAGGCATCGTGGGAAGAGAAGTAGGCTGCATCTGGAGAAAAAGGTTGGAAGAGGGCAAAGATGAGTTCAGCCTTGGGCTCATTCAGTTTGAGATTCTGGAGGGACATTCAAATGGAAATAAGTCAGTGGGATATGCAGGTCTGAAAGTCACAAAATCATTGTCAGCGGCAAATGACATAAATGGATAGTCATTAGTGGAGTGAAACGACACAAGTGGATGCATTTTCACAGAGTACATGTGAGAAAGGCACAGGGAAGAATTTTAGAGGCATGAGTCAAAATTAGTTTGGCAGACTTCAGTTTCTGTAGGGGCCAGTGGAAAATGTAATTTGGCGGCTAACATTCTATTTAACTTTAGCCATTGGAGAAATAACTATATACCTCCTTTAGGTGGTAGATTTTTAGGGACCAAGTCAAAAAATATAAACTGGAAGCCCCTCCTCTGAAGAATCCAAGACCTTGAGGAAGTGATTTAAAGAAGAGAGCAGCTTGGACATCAGAGGAGCATGGGAGTGTGGAGCCAGGGGGCTTCCAGAAAGAGCTGCACAGATGGGATAGGACCTCCCTGAAGCCCTAGGTTTGTACCAGAAACAAGTTTTCATTTTGGCCCCTTGTTAGCTTACATTCCCTAAACTCACCAAATTGATTTCTGATCTTAATTTGCTTTCTCAAAGAAGAGGCTTCTCTTTGACAAACAAGCATTTCCCATTGAGATCTAACTATTGAGCTTCTGATACCATTGGCTCACATATGCCTAAGTCTTCCTGAGCCTAATCTGCCCTTATTTAACTCAACAGATACCAGATCTATATTTGAACTGGAAAATTCAAACCTTGCCACTGAGAGGGGGCAGTAACTTTAAGAATTTTTTTTCCATTTATCACTCCCCTATTCAAGCTTGTCCTCTCTCCACCAGGGTCCATGTGATAGGGCCCTGAAAGTAACTCCCAACTTCAGGTTGAAACTTCTTTTCCATGGTCATCTGAACACCCACTATCTGGAATTCAAGACTAGAGCTGCTCTCTTCCCTCAGGGCCACCGATGTAAATCCAGTTTCGCAGGAATTTTCACTCTTTAATTCCTAACTCAGTTTCAAGATTTACTTGCTTTCTCAGTTTCCGCATATCAGCAGCTCGTGACTCCTGAGTTTCTGCTCTTAGTTCAAAATCTGTTGGTTTCTCTCCCCCTGATGGAGGCCTTTTCTTCTTAATAAAGGCCACCTAACTGACATCTTCAGTAATTCATGTCATCTTCTGGAATTTATTTACATTTCACTGTGGCTTTCCTCAAGAGTACTGTACAGGTACTCTTTTTGCCCCTGGTTTTTATTTTAAGATTTTATCTATTTACTTGAGAGAGAGAGTGCATAAGCAGTGGGGAGGGGTAAAAGGAGATGGAGAAGCAGACTCCCCCCTGAGCAGGGAGCCCGACTCGGGGGCTGGATCCCAGGACTCCTGGGATCATGACCTGAGCTGAATTGCCCCTGTTTTTTGAGAGAACTAAAAATAAGTATCCAATAATCCTTAAGTTACCATAGCATGAACAAGGTAACTACATTATGCAAAGAGAGTCATCATTCAACAAGTATTTCCCAGCTCCCCATTGTATCACTTGGTTCAGGACCTCAGGATGTGTCAAATAAGAAAGAGGGTCTTTCAAACCATGAGAGATTCTGGACTCCAGGAACCAAACTGAGGGTTACAGAAGGGAGGGGGTGGGGGGATGGGATAACCAGGTGATGGGTATTAAGGAGGGCACATGTTGTGATGAGCACTGGGTGTTATATGCAAATAATGAATCGTTGAACACTACATCAAAAACTAATGATGTACTGTATGTTGGCTAACTGAACATAATTTAAAAAAAAAAAAAGAAAGAGGGTCTCTGTCCTTAGGGAGTTTAGACTAATATGAAGGACAAACATTAAACAGTTATTTACATAATTCAGGTTTTTATTTAAAATTAGGACACATGCTATTAAAAGAAAAGCACATGGGGTTAAAGGAGTGCATAATAAGGACACAGAATCTACTTTGAGGAGATAGTATCTCTAAGAGCTATTAATTTTCATTGATACGGAAGGGGAAATGAAGTTCTGAGTCATGTGACACTGCACGGATTTTCTCATTTAGTATGTGGAGTGACATGCAATGATGGCACCATGGACAGCTATAATCCCATCATGAAACGCCAAGTAACTTCCTTGTCAGATTAAGAATGGGGCAGCATGTGTCACTATGGAATAGAATATTTCTTTGGATAGAGTTCTCAAAACATATTGACAAATGGCTCTTCCGGCTATATATCAGTATTTTTGTTTGTCTAAACTCTTAGTTATATCATTGCCTGGGCAAATCACTTAATTTCACCAGTCTTCAGGTCCCTCACCTTTAAAATTCTAGAGGATTCAGGCGAGCCTGCGTATTTGCTTGGCATTTGTCACCTTGGATCCTCTGAAGCCCCAGTTTAGCAGGATCAGGAAAACAAATCTGCGCGGTCCACCCAGTGTCACCACCCATCCATCATGGCAGCTAACACTAGTTTCAGAAATAATGTCATTCATACCTTTTATGAATGCTTGCCCAAGAGGCATTGATGTTCTCTGTTATCATGTGAACTTTTCTGGTATCATCTGCAGAATAATCCCGGAGAAGTTTCAGTGCCAAATCATTTGCAACATCTACATTTATCTGCCACTGGCGGAGGTCTTTGGCCAACTGCTGTGGATGCATATGGGAAAGAAAATGAATGTCAGTTTTCTCCGAAATCTTGAGTTGTAGTTTCTTAAAATTTCGCATAAATAGCTTTTGAATCCTCAGGTCAGAACATGTCTACATGATTACTTTTAACCTACCACGTGATTTAGTCAATCATGACTGTATAAACTAACCCACTTTTCATGACAAAACTTTTTAAATGCTGCATCTTGAGCAATACTCAGTATTGGGTATTTCAATTTAGTGCCAATTAATTGGAAATCAACTGGGTTTAATTATTTTTTTCATGGTAGAGAACTATAAAAGTAAGCTCCCATATAATTGTTGAGTATGGGACATACCAAAATTTGAATGGAAAAGCAAATCTCATGTATTTCTTTCCCCCTTCATTAAATTGTTGAATTGTTTATGTAATTAGTGCCATCTACTGGCATTCAACTACAGCTGCATATAGAAAATATCACACATCAAAAGAACAGTACTGTTATTCTAGTTGTGAACATTTTCAAAGGACCAGTTTATTCATAATACCTTAATAAATATCCTCCTTTAAAATTAGAATAAAATGAGGGGCAGAGCAAGATGGCAGAGGAGTAGGAGACCTGGATTTCATCTCCTCTCAGGAATTCAGCTGGATAGGGATCAAACCAATCTGAACACCTACAAACTCAACAGGAGATCGAAGAAAAGAAGAGCAACAACTCTCT